TTTTTAAAACAATTGGACTGCTTAGGATTGTAATTTTTGTTTGGACTAAGGTTAGTTTCTTGGATAAATATTATATCTGGGCAATGGTCAGAGATAGGTTTCTATAAAAAGCCAAGTCGATTGAAGAGTCCATCGATATTCCATTGAAGTAGTGTTGTGAATTTAATTATTTAAAAAAGAAAAAAAAAGAAATTAATTAATTAGGCACTGAATTGAGACGTATCACTATTGGACTCTAAATTGCTGTTATTACTAATTTTTCTCTTTAGTGTGGTAATGCTTCGTTTAGCAAATCTTCCTTTTAAATGCGGGTAAATTGTATTTAGCATATGAATTAGTGCTGGGATATCTGTAGTAAAGTCCTGAATTATATTAATGGGATTTTGTGCACCACTAACATTACTTAAGAGTAAACAAAATAGATCGAAATTGAGGATAAATGGTTGTGATTAATTTTCAATAAAGTGTTTTACTGGTTCGAATAGAGTTTGACTGGATGGTATGGTTTCTGTGCAATCGTCACTGGTTTTGGTTTTCTTCATTTTAGGTGCTGGTGTCGAAAAATGGTTTTCTTTTAGTTCCGTGTCTCAAAGTGAAAGAATATCATGAATATTCCGTTTCGGCTTACTGTTTATATGTATTGTGTCTATTGAGATATTGTTGGTGATAGTTTTTTGGTTAGATATTTTATCGGATTTTTGTGTGATTGATTCTGTTTTATCTGTAGAAGATAAAGTTGGAGTTGGAATAATGGCATTGCTAAGTTGTGGTTACGCAAGTGCATAGAATTAATAAGACTAACCCTTCTTCTGGTGACAAATGTCTCGCTCATGTACTTCATATGCCTATAAAGTGTTTAAAATATTAATAAGAAAGTCAAATTAATCAAATCAATAAATCCATAAAAAATAATACAAAATTATACTTCTTCTTAGTCGTTAACCTGATGCAGGTATCGTGATATCATGAAGCTGTTAGGTAATTTTTCCAATGTTCCTCCACGTTTTTCTATCTTCTGCCAATCTAGCACATTCTGACAATGGAGCGCCAATGGTAGCAACAATATGGTCCGTGTATCGTGTAGGAGATCTACCTCTACTTCTTTTGCCTTCTACTTTTCCCTGGATGGTAAGTTTTTCAAGACCATTTCCTCAAAGCACATGTCCAAAATGGCTTATTATCTGTTCTGTTATTTGTGTTCTTAGTCTTTTCTTTATGTTTAGCTGGACCAGTATGGATTCATTTGTTCTTCGGGCCACCCATGGTATTCTCAGCATTCGTCTCCAGCAGTACATCTCAAATACATATATCTTCTTTTTGTCTTTCTCAGTAAGGGTCCAGCATTCCGATGCATAAGTAAAAACTGGAAAAACTAGACTTCTTACTAGTCTCATTTTTGTATCGGTAGTAATTTCATGGCTTTTCCAAATTTTTGTTAATTTTGCCATAGCGCTTTTTGCGATTGCTGACCGCCGCTTTATTTCTTCAGTACAGCCTTCTTTGTTGGTTATTAATGAGCCCAGATACACAAATTTATCTACAACAGCGATATTGTTTATCCTAACCAGATGATTTTGATTGTTGTTAGCTCTGTCAATTATCATGATTCTCGTTTTATCCCTGTTTATTTTAAGGCCCATCGTTAAGCTTACGTCTTCTATCCGTTGTAGCAGGTAAATCAATTTATTTTCAGAACTAGCGAGGATAGTAGTATCATCTGCATATCTCAAGTTGCAAATCTTCTTCCCCCCAATGGTGATGCCACCGTTCCAGTCCTCAGTAGCTTTCCGCATTATCCATTCACCATAGATGTTAAATAAAATTGGGCTTAGTATGCAGCCTTGTCTCACGCCCTTTGTGACCCTGAAACTGTCAGTTAATTCCCCATTTATTCTAACTCTGGCGTAATTGTTATTGTACAGGCTTTTAATTAGCAGTATCAGATGATTAGGGACTCCCATTTCAGACAAAACCTGCCACATTTTACTCCAGTTGACCAAACCGAAAGCTTTACTATAATCTATGAAGCACAAATATGTTGTGATGTTGAATTCTCTGGATTTTGCTACAATCTGCCGTACGTTTAAAATTTGTTCTCTAGTACCACGTCCTGGGACGAAACCTGCTTGTTCCTCCGCAATGTTAGGTAGTAAAAAGGGCTTTATCCTCTCGAGAATTATGTGTAAGAGTATCTTACTGCAATGCGCAATTAGAGCAATTGTGCGATAGTTGCTACATAAATCTTTCGCTCCCTTTTTATGTATGGGAATATATAGTGATTGTGTCCAGTCCTCAGGCCATTTACCTGTCTCCCACACTCTTTGACAAATTTGATGTATTATATCCACTCCAACGTCATCTGGGGCCCAAATCATTTCAATAGGTATGTTTTCTGGACCGGCAGCTTTTTGACTTTTTTGCCTCATAATTGCTGCTTCAACTTCACTTTTAAGTACGTCAGGTTCCGTCGCAAAACTGGCATCTTCTTGTTGTGCTTTCCTCCATCATCAGTCGTCCACAGTATTCTTTCCATCTGTGTAAAATATCTTTTTTAGAAGTGAGTAGAGTTCCGTTATCATCTTTGATAGCAGGGTAGTTTGGTGTAAAGGAACGTGTTATCTGCTCTATTTTTTTAAACATGTCTCTGGTCTCAGTGTTGGTTTTATGCCCTTCTATTTCCATGCAGATTTTGTTCAAGTGTGTGTTCTTGTCCTTTTTGCAGAGTCGTTTTATTTGACCGTTCAGCGCTTTATAGGCCTCTTTATCACTTTCACTGTTCAGTCCTGTGGCTTTTAAGCACTTCCTCTCCTGTATTTTAGTCCACGTGGAGTCCGTTATCCATTGTTTCCTTCTGTCATTATGCAATATGGATTTTGTTTTTGTCCATATGCTGTTTGAGGACTCGTCTGGATTTAATGATTGTTTGAGGTCACATAGCTTTTGCATTGCGGCTTTTTTGTACGGATCGTTATATCTTAGATGCCATTTAGTTGTTGTATTTCCTGTTTTTGGACTGTTTCTAACTTCATGCGGAATTCAGCTGATAAAAATTGATGGTCTCTATTACAATCTTTTCCTGGATAGGTCTTAACATCCTTAACAGCGCTCCTTCAACGGGTTTTTACCAGTATAAAATCTATCTGATTTCTGTATCTATTTCCTGGTGATATCCAAGTGTATAGTCGTCTTGGGTGATGTTGAAAGCCTGTATTAGTAACAAACAGGTTGTTGTCTATACAAAAGTGTAGCAAGCGTTCTCCTCTGTCATTTCTTTGGCCAAGTTCATATAATCCGACGGTCTCTCGCAAGTAATGATCTTCTGTAGTTACACCAATTTAGGCGTTGAAATCTCCTACGACTGCTGTGATTTCTCTATTTGAAAGCTTCCCAAGCGTCTGCTTCAACGTACTATAAAATGTTTCAATTTCTTCATCGTGAGCTTCGCTTGTTGGGGCATATGTTTGTACCACATTAAGATTAACTGGACTGGCATTTATTCTGACATTAATTATCCGATCGCTGACGGTTATGTATTCTTTTACGGAGGTTTTAACGGCATTATTTACTATCACTGCGACGCCATTCCGAGATTCGTTATCATTGCCGGAGAAATAAATATCATTGCCATTTTTTGACGTAAAATGTCCTTTATCCTTCCAGTGGGTTTCAGATAGACCTACAATGGCATAATTGTGTATCTCGTTTTCCACTACGAATATATCTTCTTCTTCAAGAGCCGTCTCCATCAATGGAGGTTAGCGGTTATGGTGGCAAACGTTTGTCTATCTTCAGCTGCTCTTAAGAGTTCCTCAAATCCAAGTCCTGTCCAGTTTCTGATATTGCGTAACCAGGACAATTTTTTTCTTCCAATTCCTCGCTTTCCTTCTATTTTGCCTTTTATTATCAACTGAGGGATGTAGTATTTCTCGTTGCGCAACAAATGCCCTAAATAACTGGTTTTTCTTCTTTTGACTGTTCTCAATAGATCTTTTTCTAAATTGAGTCTAGCTAGTACTTCTTCATTTGTTTTTCGTGCTGTCCAAGGAATTTTTAAAATTCTACGGTACACCCACATTTCAAATGCCTCGATTCTATTCAGGCTCTTTATTTTTAAAGTCCACGTTTCGACTCCGTAGAGAAGAACAGACCAGATAAAACATTTTACAAGTTTTAATCTCAATTTAATATTTATATGTGTATCGCAGAATAGAACGCGCATCTTAAAGAAACTATCCCTAGCTTGAGCAATTCTCGCTTTAATTTCTTGTTCTGGGTCCAGCTTGCAATTAATCCAACAGCCAAGGTATTTGTATTGGTTTACCTGTTCTAAAATATTCCCATTTATTTTTATAGGTAAGGGGATATTCTGTTTTCTTTGGATCACCATTACTTTTGTTTTTTTTTCGTTGATCTTCATTCCAAACTCTCGACAAGCATCCTTAAGGTGGTCTATAACCCTCTGTAAGTTTGTGTCTGTATCAGCCAGTAGGACAGTGTCATCTGCATCACTTATGCTAGATATTGGTTCTCCATTAATTTTTATTCCTGTGGAAAGGTTTTCCAAGGCTAGCTTGAATAGTAGTTCCAAGTAAAGATTGAACAGCATAGCGGATAGTATGCATCCACGAATATATATATATATATATATATATATATATATATATATATATATATATATAATTACGAAATACTAAGATAATACGATACAGTCTTTATTTTATTTTAACCCCAAGCTAACTCTATACAACTAATTCAAATTTATCCTTAAATATTCATCCCGTCTTTGGCCTGCAGTCCGATACGTTAAATAAATCAGTTCAAATTTTACAATGTGATTAATTCCAATTCTACAATTATTATCATAACATGAAAATGCACCAGAAAATAGCTTAAGGAAAATATTTACAATAAACAAATCATCGATCAAGGTTAAATGAGTTTAGTATTAATTAAATCCAACCATTCGGATAGTTTTGTAATTATGTATTTAAATAGTGTGCATTCAAACCGCTAAGCGCGATGACGGTATTTTCCGAAGATACCCGCGATGTGGTTAAAAAAAATGTTTTAAAGGAACATGGAAAAACGATAGAGGATTTAAGTGATTATGTGCAATATCTTACAAAATGGATCAAAAGTCAACCTCATTTTCCCGAAATACCGAGTAAGTATAAATTCATTTATAAATTTCTTTAACAATATTTACAAATTTTATCAAGCAAATTAAAAGATAAGGACCATATATTAATAAAAGTGTATTTAAATATTAAAATAGGGAAATACCTATATAACTTAAACATTTAATTCAATTGATTTTTTAGTTTTAGAATTGAATTTTTTAAACCTATCAAACATTTTACTTTTCTTAACTATTTTATACAAGTTTTTTGCTAATTTGTTAGCAAATTGCTAGTTCTCATTTACAATGGATATTTTATTAATATCTGCAAGGCTCCATCAGCTATTCCTGCGTTCATTGGGCATCAATTTACATTTTGTACCAGGCTAGCATATATTCTATTAACGAGGGTTCTTGTTTGATTGACAATATCGGAAGACATTGACAGCTGGTCGTTCCAGAAATCAAGATGTGGGTGATGATGTACATTTTTTACATATATGGTATTAAATATGCTTAAAATAATTTCATATTAGCATGTAACAGGTTTGCCAAATTTATTTCATTGTTTAAAAACCACAGAATCTTGGATATTAGCATGTGGGTATTGAAAAATTATAGCACACCATCATTATGACCAATAAAATGTTGCCTTAAATTGATTTAAATCAGATGCTAAACAGATAATAAGTGGTATTTAAAAACAGTTTAAAGCAAGACAAATGACCTAACAGATAAAAGTTATTTACTAATTTATATAAATATTAAAAATATTTACTTCCGATAAATGAGAGACGGCACGACATAAACTTTATCAAACGAACAAGTAAACAGTGTTGCTTTAAAGTTGGTTTACATTTAAAATAGAAACAATAAATGTCTTACTGCGGCCCATGTTTTATTGAGGTCTATCAACTTCAAGTGATATGACTTGAGTGTTAAAAAATGAACATACATATAACAAAAATAAACAAAATTATATATATATATATATATATATATATATATATATATATATAATATATATATATATATATATATATATATATATATAATATATATATATATATATATATATATATATACACTGCTAGTCAAAAGTCCGTTCCCCCCTCGTATCTTTTGAACGGTTTTTGTTATAATAGTGAAATTTAAAGGGAGATAATAAACAGACGTAGGCTTTTAACTAGTCATAACAGGTGACATAATAGTGACAGATGACGTTACAGCGCCACTGTGACAGATAATTTTAAATGGAACATTATGGCAAGTGATACCTCGTTTGAAAGGTATTGAAAATACCTATTCAGTCATAATAATTTTGTTTGAGTTTAAGGTCATTTTAATAAATAAATTCAATAAATACTAAAATTGTAGCTTCTCATTTAATTGATAAATATTTAACCAATTATTATAGTAAGTGTTCAAAATGTGCTCCATCTACTTCCTGACAGTAATGCATCCTATTTCTAAACTCTTGCCATACTCGTTCAAATGTGTCGGTGGAAATTGCCCTACATTCTTCAACAATTCGTTGTTTCAAAATGTCAATATTGTCGGTTGCTGTAGCGTAAACTTTAGATTTCAAGTATCCCCACAGAAAAAATCTAATGGTGTGAGGTCCGATGACCGAGCTGACCATTCTATCGTACCTCGTCGTCCAATCCATCTACCACGATATTCCTCATCTAGGTAACGTCTTACTGCACCATAATGGTGTGCAGGAGCACCATCTTGTTGAAACGGTATTTCCAAGTTGCCGAATTCATCTGGATTATCCTCCAGAATTTCAAGTATTAATGGTTTAATTGCATTTTGTAACATCTCCAGATACACTTCACCGGTTAAGTTAGTATTGAAAAAAACAGGGCCAAGTATGTGGTTTCCCAAAATACCTGCCAAAACATTTTTTTTTTTTTTGGAAATTGAGTATGTGTTTCACGAAAGATGTGAGGATTTTTATCACTCCAATACCTCACATTATGTCTGTTAACATTTCCATTGAGATAAAAAGTACTTTCGTCACTAAAACAAATTGTTTTTGTGTAATTGGGCTGTTGGTTAATTTTATTGAACATATTTTCACAGATTTCTAGTCTTCGGTCGGGGTCATCATCTAAAAGTTGGTGCAAAATTTTTAATTTGTATGGATGGAATTTGTTTTCAGCCAACACTCGGTGTACTGACTTTTGACTAATTCCATAGATATATGCAACTTGGGCTGTAGAAGAAGTAGGATTCACTACCATTTCTGATATTATGTCAATTTTTTTGTCATCTAACTAAATTTTGTCACTAATTGTTGGTCGACCAGATCGTTTGACATCTTGAACACTACCTGTTTGTTTAAACTTCCGAAGAAGCTTTCTCAAATAAGACCTCGATATAGGGCGATCGGGGTACCTCTCATTAAAAAGACATTTCGCTGCATGGAAATTATTTCCACATTCACCAATTAGTAATACAGCTGCTAGTTTATCGGATACAGTACGTACCATTCTGCCTTTGTAAAGAATAATAAACTAAACTAACTAACTAAACTAAATATTAACTAAGAACAACTAACTAAAAACAACTCGACTAAACTTGAATTGACTAAACTAAGTAGAAACAGAAATTAAATATTGGGCTACAAACGCTTTTGCAAACTAAAAACAACTAGAGAATTGACAAAAGTCAACTTTTTTTGACAAATAACCAAAGGCTGACGTTAGAATTTTTATTAATTAAATGCCGAATTAGAATTTTACTATTTATTTCATTTATTCGTCAAAAGCATCTTAAATCCAAACAAAATTAGTATGATTGAATAGGTATATTAAAATAATTGTAGTTTCGCATTTAATCAATATAAACAAAATTAGTATGAATGAATAGGTATATTAAAATAATTATAGTTTCGCATTTAATCAATAAATATTCTAACGTTCGCCTCTGGTTAATTGTCAAAAAAGTTGACGTTGACGTAAAAACAATTAGAGAATTGAAAAACGGCAACTTTTTGACAAGTAACCAAAGGCGGAGATTTTAATATTTATTAATTAAATGCGAAACTACAATTTTAATATTTATTTAATTTATTTATTAAAATGAGCTTAAACTCAAATAAAATTATTATGGCCGAATTGATATTTTCAATACCTTTCAAACGAGGTATCACTTGCCATAAGGTCCCATTTAAAATTATCTATTACAGTGGCGTTGTAACGTCATCTGTCACTATTACGTCACCTGTTATGACTAGATGAGAAGCCTACATCTGTTTAATACTTCCCTCCAAATGTCACTATTATAACAATAACCGTTCAAAAGATACGAAGGGGGGAACGGACTTTTGACTAGCACTGTATATATATATATATATATATATATATATATATATATATATATATATATATATGTATATATATATATAATTATATATATATATATATATATATATATATATATATATATATATATATGTATATATATATATAATTATATATATATATATATATATACATATATATATATATATATATATATATATATATATATATGTATATATATATATATATATATATATATATATATATATATGTATATATATATATATATATATATATATATATATATATATATATATATATATATATATATATATATATATATATGTTCGGAAAGATTTCCGCGGTTAGTACAATGAATCCTAGAGCTAAGATTAATACTATTACAAAAATTAATGTTAAACTCACCAGTCTTCCGGGTTTAACCGCATTGATATCCATTTTTCCGAGCTTTCGACATCCTCTCTAATGTCTTCTTCAGCTTCCGAGGTCTCAGTCTTCCGAGCCCTCAGACACTACTACACTGTTCACTGATCACTGCACTGTCACAGTAGTGGCAGTAAGTTTGTTAATTTGTAAACTGTATCTAGTTTCAATTAATTGTCTATACAACGCGATCTCAGAATGTCCATTGTAGTAAGCTTTTTTACACATTTAAGATCATTGACTGCTACATGTCTTTTTGAGGTAACACAATTGTAATAACTGTTCTATGCATGTTTGGTTTTTCATACTGTTCTTTTTAGATAAACTGATGATGCTTTCAGAATTGAAAGCGAAACGTCTTCAATAAACAGAACAGATAACTTAAAGATATTGGAACTATCCTTACTTAGTTAGATGCCGCCTGTTACGAAGTTGGTTTGAACATAAATTTTGAAAAGACACTTCTTCTTTTTCTTACCGTGCCTATCCGTTCTGGATGTTGGCGATCAACATGGCTATCCTAACTTTGCTTGCTGCTATTCTGAATAGTTGAATAGTCCGGTTGTCGATGTATTAAACCACTTTCTCAGGTTTTGAAGCCAAGATAATCTTCTTCTCCCTGTTCCTCTTCTTCCAAGTACCTTGCCCTGAAAAATGAGTTGCAACAAGCCGTATCTCTGTTTATTCCTTATAATATGGCCAAGATATTCTCGTTTGCGCTCTTTGATGATGTTCATAATTTCGCATTCCTTTGCCTATTCCACCCATGAAATGCTTAAAATACGTCTGTAACACCACATCTTGAATGCCTCGAATTTTCTTAAAGAAGCTTCGGAAAGTGTCCAGGCCTCTACTCCGTATAATAACGTAGGAAATACATAGCATCTAATGAGAGATTTTGGTAGCAAGTGGTAAATCGTGACTTCTGAAAAGACACAATACATGACAAACCTGGTAGCAAGCGAAAATCTAAAAGTCAATTGAAATGAAATATGATTAGTTCGTAAATATAAATACTTAGATCATGAAATCTAAATTACTAGGGACAACCAAACTGCTGAACTGCAAAAAAGAATCACTTTAGCATGGGTTTTATATGGAGATATATGGAGATCTCTATCAGATGTCTTCATGAGCAACATGTCATGACGTTCGACCAATACGTGCTTTTAGTTTTGACTTACGTAGCCGAAACACTTTACTTAACAGGAGCTATAGCAACCAAACTCAAAGTAGTTTTATTTTATGTTTATTTGGTTTCAACGAATAGGGACAAAATTCTTCCAGCCA